TTGTGATAACGGTGTTGTTGTTGTGCTTGTGGTTGCCTTCGTGCGCCGGTTCATGCCTGTGTTTCTGGCAGTGTGTTGTGCCCATGGCACGCTTGTTGCTACGACTAGGTGCGTCCCGAAACCTGTGCTCACGGCGCGCGCTTGTCGTTCGCTTGCCGTCCGTCGCTTCGACGTCGCGTCGTGTCGTCCCCCTGCACTCTGCCCCATTGGGCCCCCAGTCGCTGGTTTCAAACAGCATGCGCTCACGGCTTCTTTGCACGGAGCTCGCTGTCATGCGATCGGGGTTGGCCGCCGCCAGCGCACCGGGTGGCCGCCAGTGGCCGCGGGGCCTTGCGGGGAAGCGCCGCGGCGCGCCCGCGATACTCTGCGAAGGCGCGCGGCAGGCGAGCTGGCAGCGGCGGCCCGCTCCACCGGCGGGCGAGGAGCGGCGCCGCGAGCGTGACGGCTCGCCGCCCTTCCCCGAGCGGGCGCCGTGGGCCGCGGAGATGGTCGGCGGCTGCTCCATCACATTCTCCTCCTCCTCCTCCTCGTCCTCCTCCTCATCCTCATCCTCATCTTCCTCCTCCTCCTCCTCCCGGCGAACAGAAAACGGGCCTGGATTCTTGGACCATCGGCGAGTTGCGGCTGCTGCCCTCAGATCTGCGTGCCCGGATCGCGGACCTGCTCGACGAGGTCGAGGAGTTCGGAGTGTGGCCGCAGGAGCTCGTGGAGCCCAAGGGGCTGCTGCTGCCAAACCCTGGTGGCGACGGGCCGCAGTGGCGCGTTTCGTGGGACGGCAGCCAGTGGTGCTGCGGTGCGGAGGAGCAGATCCTGGGAGCTCGCCCTGGAGCTGGAGGCGGCGGGCGCGCTGACCGAGGAGATCGCCAAGGAAACGCTCGACTGGTCGACGGCATATGACAATGTCGACCTCCGCACGCTGCTTGGCGTCCTCGAGCGCGCTGTCATTCTTGCGCGGGTCCGCAAGCCAGCGCTGAGCGCCTACACAGCGCCGCAGGGTCCGGGTTGGGCAGTCAAGCTTCTGGCGGCCCGTAGCTGCCCACGCGCGGTTTGATGCCAGGCTGCTTGTGGCGGTGTTTATCTCGGCTGTGCTCGCGTACCCGTGGGTGCGCCGCGCGAGAGCTATCAGCGACAATCTCCGCAGACGTGTGCACTTCGACGATTCCACCATCTGGGAACGGGTCGCGGCCAGCCTCGGCGCGGACGCAGCCGAGGAGGAGCAGCAGGCGCTCCGCGTCGCGGAGGACTTCGAGCTGCGCGCGATGGACTGGCAGATCAACCGCCGCATGGGCCGGCACTTCGCGGGCTGCCAGGCCCTGCGGCGATGGCTCGCGGCGCAGACGCCCAGCATCCAGGCGAGCCCAGTTTTACGTGACTTGGGAGTCGTCGCCAACGCTGGCAGTGGCCGCCGCTGCGCCGTCTCAGCCGCGCGGCGCGCGTGGCCGTTTCGGGCGGCTCGGGCGCTCGCTGATTGGATACGGCCAGCGCTGCCTGCTCGGGGCTACGGCGGGCACTGGTTGGGCTGTGTAGCGCTGCCTGCGGCCGGCCGCCGGCGAAGGAATTCTCTGGCCTCCGCACGGCTGCGCGCCGGGCGGTCTGCCGCGAGGGGCTGCGCGCTGTCGTCGGACTTGGTTTCGGCGTTCTTGCCCCGAGGCTGGACCTGGCGGTGGCGGTGATGATCGCGCCGATGGCAGGCTGCGAAGTCCCTCCAGCACGGCTGGTTTCCCGCCGAGCTGTGGAGGCAAACCGCCGGGGCTTTGGCCGCGGTGCACGGCCGCGGCGCCGGGCCAGCCGCGGCCGCGTTCCAGAGTTGGACAGAGCTGCAGCCCAGGTCCGACATCGAGCGGTGGATGGGCCGGCCGCGCCCGGGCGTCGGGGCCCCGCCCAGCAGTTCTGCAGGTCTCGCGAGCGACGCCACTGGAAGCCTGGTCCCAGGGCGACGCCCGGCGTCTTGCCAGCAGGCGCGGCGCGCTGATTTGCCGCGCGTCGACGTGGGCGTCGACCAATGGGCAATTTGGCGGCCCCCGACCAGCGGCTCGCTCGCGGCAGACGACGCGGGGGCGCCGAGCAGAAAACGTGATCACTGAGTCCGGCTGCGAAGGGGGCAGGGGGGGGGGGCTGCCGCTTGCCCGCGCAGCGGTTCGCAGGATCTCGAGCGCCGCGCTTGGATTCGCCCGCGCTGAGAGGCCGAGCGCCGAGCGGCGTTGCAGCCATATGGTTTCATTGCAGAGGCCGCCCGCGCCTGCCGCCTCCCAGAGCAGCGCCCGCCAGCGTCTTGCACCAGAGCCCTCGTTGAGCGGTCCTCGCGGAGGAGGCCCGGCTGCCATTGCCGCTGCCCGCGCCCCCCAGCCCGCAGGTTGCGCGCCTGGACGGACGGCTCCTGCGCGCGCCTGGGCGACCTTCTTCTCGCCAGAGTTGGCTGGCGGCGCGTGCAGTTTTCTGGGAGGCCATCGCCCCACTCTGCCGCAGCAGGATGCCGCGCGCCCGCTGGGTCAAGGCGCGCTTCGACGCCGACCGGGCGGGGGGGCGCGGGATGTCCGAGGAGGACCGCGTGGGCAGGGCAGAAGCGGGCCGTTTTGCAGGGCTGGCCGCCGAGGTCCAGGCGCTCGCGGCCGCGACGTGCCAGGAGCGCAGGCGGCAGCTCGACTCGCCGGCCGCGGAGCAGCGAGTGTCCGCGTTCGTGGAGCTTGCGGCGTTCGAAACCAGCCATGCGCCGCGCGGCGCTGCAGGGCCGCGCGCCCGGCATCGCTGCACGGCACCGCGCGCTGCGCGGCCCTGGCGCCCCGGTTGGCCGCGCTGCGAGGCCTGCGGCCGCGACTGGCGTCGGCGACCACGGTCCGGTCGCCGTTCGCCGGCCACGCTTGGCGCCCGCACGCGGCGCCCCAGGGGCTGGGCCTGCGACGGATGGGTGAAGCAGCGTCGGGAAGCGAGCTGGCCGTGCGCCGGCGTGGCGGCGACGCTGCCGCCGCGCGCGACGAGCCTGCAGCTGCTGCCCACGCGGCCCTCGCCGGAGGCGCGGAGGCCTACTGGCGGGCGGCGCTGCGGGTTCGGTTCGCCGCGCGCCACGGGGCGCCCGAACGGCAGGCGAATTTGTTGACGCGGCGGCGCTGCCGCAGGGGCGAAAGCGGGCCGCGCGCCCGCCATCCATTATACATATATATATATATATATGTATAGGTTGTTTTTGTTCCCTCCCTCCCTCCCCCTGGGCAGTCTTCGTGCCGTTGTAAGACAAAAGGTGTCGGTATGGGTTCCCAAATCGGATGTTTAGCAAACTTGTACGCGAGGTGCAGTTGAATTGTTGATGCTGTTTCGGGCCTTGGGTGGCCCGTTCCTCCCCGCGTTTCTCCAATCCTGTCCTCCTCCTCCCTGTTATGAGGTCCTTCCCTCCCTTTCCCCCCTTGTCTCCTCTGCCTCCTCACTCGTCTCCGTCTCAGTTCGGCCTCGATCCCCAACTTCCGTTCATGTTTCGGGAACGCAGCGCAGGAATGATTTCTCCAGAACCTATCAGTTATGGTGTCAATTACATCGCCCTGCTCCCATCAGTGCTGCTGGTGTCTGTGCGTGCACGCGCACAGGAGTGGGTGCGCCCGCTGCCGAATGAGACGCTCCGCCGCCTGCTGAGGGAACACCTGCGGCACCTGCACAACTCCTCGTGGACGAAGCACCTGGAGGACGGGGCTGAGAACATGGTCGGGCGTTGCCTCATAGCCCCCCGGGGCCCACAAGGAACACGAAGGGTGCACGTTTCTTCGCACCCATTGATCGCTCCCCATGAAGCAACAGCAACGCCCGACGTTAGGGACTTGAGGAAACACGCGACCCTGGCAACCCTAGTTGCTTTCTCCCCTCTCGCCTCGTCGGTCCTTCCACCCTACGCGCTCTTGCTCTCACCGTCGACCTCCTGGTCTTGCGGGCGTGCAGGGCTCGTGTCGACTTGTCCGATTCGATTTGGTTCCATGTCGGTGGCATCCGATTCCGATTCGATTCGGCTTGGGATTCCGATCCGGATTCCGACTTCCCAGTGGAGGCTTTATTGATTCTTGAGTTCCGCCGACTCGACTTCTTGGCTGCCGATTTCCGCCGATTCGCTTGGATCGCCGATCCTATCTATCGGTTCTGTGCTGGGCTCTCCTGGCCTGTACGCGGGTCTCCCGGGGCCGCCGCCGGTCTGCAGTGTCGTGCTCAATGCAGGGAGTTCGAGGGGACCTGGTGGCACTCCGCTCGGCCTCACGGCACGTTGGCGGATGTCGGGTATAGTCGGGCGAAGGGAACTATGCACATGCACCGATCCTGGCAACGCCCATCCTTGACCCAGGATCGGTGCATATGCCTTCCTGGCCAAGGTAGGAGGGCGTATGCACCGATCCTGGGCTCAGGATGGGCCTGGCTAGAACCGGTGTATGTGCATAGTTCTTTTTCCTCTAATGTCGGGTATAGCCAGGACCCCGGTTCAGGGGATCCGGTTAGTGATTGGTCCCCGAAGCCCCAAATATGGATTGGAACTCACTGGACCAGGTCTGCCGTAGCTGATGCTGTTCGGGTTGCGGCAATTCCAGTTCGTGGACTGGGACGGGGGGGGCGCCCCCCGGTGGGCATCCCTAAGCCAGGTCCCACTTAACCCAGTTCTGCCAACGCCCGAGGATGCTCTCTGGCAGGACAAGAAGGGGGGGGGGAACTAGGGAGGACTGTCGTCTGCTCGCCATCATATGGGGGCTACGGGTCCCGAGGGAAACGGGTCCCGAGGTTTTCCCCGTTTTTCCGGCTCTTTGGGGCCCTCCACAGGCCTAGGGACGGTCAGGAAAACGATGAACAAACAATTCCGCATGGCGGAGCTCGACGAAAGAGGAGGAGGAGGAGGAGGAGGAGGAGGCAGCGTCCTTAGGGACTCGGACACCTGTAGGGCTCAGCGTTCAGGAGGAGCAGGAAGAGGCGGGTGCATTCCCCCCTGGTGCATGGAGGACGGTAGCGCGGTGCTGCGGACGCTGAATTTGTCCTGCGTCATGTTGCTCAGCGCGATGAGACGCGATGTCGCCTACAGCCTCTTGCTGGAGCTGGCCACCGAGGAGAGCGAGGCGCCAGAGAGATTGTCTGCCAACTCCCGCGCCCGACGGGCCTCTCCTCGCGCTCATCCTTCTTGTTCTCGCCCTTCTCGCCCGTCGTCTCGTCCTCACCTCCGCCTCGTCCTTTCACTCGTCCTCTGCCTTCCAGATCCTTCTGCTCGGGCTCGTCCTTGTTGTCATCGCCCCACCTCCTGCTTCACCTCCCCCTCCGCTTGCCCAACTACTTACGTAGCCTTTTTGTCCGTCCTTCTCCCTCTATAGATCTATCTCTTTCTCCTTTACATATATATATATAGATGTATCTCTACGTAGCCTTGTTGTCCGTCCCTCTCTCTATATTTCTGTCTCTCTCTCTCTCTCTCTTTCTTTTTTTCTCTCTCTCTCTCTCTCTCTCTCTCTCTTTCTCTCTCTTATATATATATATATATATATGTATCTCTCTCTCCTGCCTCCGCGTCCTCCTCTGGCGCCCTGGCCAGGTGATCACCAGCTCTCTGGTGCTCAAGTGCCTGCGCAAGCTGAACAAGACCCTCGCGACGGCCAGGCAGCCGGGGCCCTCTGCTTGCCATTGGACTGGCCGGCCTGCTGCCGAGCTTCCGCCCCGCTGTCTTGTTCCTCGTCGTCCTCGTGAGCCCGTTGTTCCTGCTGCTCCTCCTCCTCCTCCTCCTCCTCCGCCAAGTTTTCCTCGCGACTAGACTTGCCTCCTAGCTCCAGCTGCTGGTCCTCGTCCCTCGTCCTTCTTCCACAGCCCCCCCTTGTCCTCCTTGGTTTCCGTGTCCTCCTCCTTCCACTACTTTTCCTCCTTTGCCCTCATCGTTATCCTCGCCTTCCTCCCACAGGTCCTCCGCCCAGAGCGCTAATCAGATGACGTGTGCGTCTTTGTCGGATCGGTTGGGCTGTTGTGTGATAGTGTTGTTGTGTTCGTGGTGGTGGGGACGGGTTCATCCACGATTCATTCCGGGTACATTGCGGTTCCATGAGTTGTTGTAATTCGATTTTGATGCCCAGAGGCAGTGCAAGATGAGAAATCCGCGCCTTGCTTGGTTTCCGCTCCTCACAACGCGGTGGCACGGCTATTTCAGCCCACCACAATATCCGCAAGGGCTTCGCCCCCATACCGTCGGCCCCCCTCCCTTAAAATGGGACTTGCCAGAGCTGCGATGGGATGTCTGAAAGAGCGCGTTCTGTAATCGCTTACAGGGGGGGAGGTTGGAACCAGACCCACCCACCCCCCCCTTCCTCCCTTATTTCTCCTTTCTCCCTTTCCTCGGGCCGGCGCCTGCGTCGGCGGCGGCTGGTGGCGGCGGCGGGGACGACCATTTCCTTTTCTGGGCCGGCGCTGGCGCCTGCGGCGGCGGGCGGCGGTCGCGGGAAGCGTCGACGAGGACGACGGTGGTGGTGGTGGTGGTGGTGGTGGTGGTGGTGGTGGTGGTGGTGGGTTGTGGTGGTGGTGGTGGCGGTGGTGGTGGGTGGTCGTGGGTGGTGTGGTGGTTTGTGGTGGTGGTGGTGGTTGTGGTGGTGGGTGGTGGTGGTGGTGGTGGTGGTTCGGTGGTGGTGTGGTGTTGGTTTGTTGTGGTGGTGGTGGTGGCGGTGGGTTGTGGTGGTGGGTGGTGGTGGTTTGGTGGTGGTGGTGTGGTGGTGGTTTGTGGTGGTGGTGGGTTGTGATGGAGGCGGTGGTTTGTGGAGGTGGTGGTGGTGGTGGTGGTGGTGGCGGCGGTGGTGGGGGTGGTGTGGTGGTTTGTAGTGGTGGTGGTGGTTGTGGCGGTGGTGGTGGTGTGGTAGATTGTCGGAATGGTGGTAGTGGTGGTGGGTTTTTGTGGTGGTGGTGGTGATGGTGAGTTGTGGTGGTGGTGGTTGTGGTGGTGGTGGTTATGGTGGTGGTGGTGGCGTTTGTGTGGTAAGTTTGTGGTGGTGGTGGTGGGTTGAGGCGGTGGTGGTGATAGTGGCGGTGGTGGTGGTACTTGTGGTGGTCGTCGCTGCGTCCCCTCCGTCGCCGGCGCCTGCGCCGGCGCTGCTGGCCGCCGCCAGCGCCGGCGCCGTCGCCAGAGGGGGGAAAAGGGCGGGGTTTGAACCCCCCCCTTGGACTGCCTCTGGTCATCGTCGCTGCGTCCCCGTCGTCGGCGCTTTTGGCGGCCCGCCAGCGCCGGTGCCAGCGCCAGCGCCGAGGATGGGGGGGGCTCGGGAAGGGGAGGTTTTGGGGGGGAGAGTAGTCCCACTGGTTGTGATCGACGGCGCCGAGCGTTGGGGGGGGGCCCACTCCCCCGTTCGAAATGCCCCGCCGAATGTTCCCAAAACGAGCACCCGTGAAACGCGCTCTCTGGAATGACGTGAAACAATGTCGGGACTTCAGGGCCAATCTTAATTTACAAGGCTTTATGGCTTCGGTGGCCCGACTATAAAGTAGTTTGCGATTGTTTAAGGTTTCGGGGACGCGAGTATTATATAATAAGGGTTTGTGGCCTCGGGGGCGCAAATATTGCATATTCTACTAAGGTGTCTAGCCTCGGGGGCAAAACAATTGCATAATCTCCGTGAGCTTATGGCCTCGGGGACGCGACCGCGGTGTAATTTGCAATGGTTTGTGACATCCTGAACGCAATTATGGTGTGTGTAGTTTACGAGGTCTTCTTGCCATTGGGACGCGTATATTCGTAAGTTGAAAAGGTTTATGGCCCTGGGGACGCGCATTTTGCAACATTTAACAAGGTTTATGGCTTCGGGGGTTGTTCCGTAATTTACGTGGGTGCGTGGCCTCGGGGGCGCGAATCTGGCGAAATGTATAAACGGTTGATGGCTTCGGGGAAGCGAATACGGCGTCATTTTCAAAGGATTACGGCTTCGGGGACGCGAGAAATGCGTAATTCGCAAAGGGTTTAAGGCCTCGACGACGCGAATATGGCTTATGCTACGAGGGATTATGGCCTCGGGGACGCGAACCTCGTCCATTTTTACGTGGTGTCCCACGCCCTCCCAGGAATTCAGACAACACGACTCGGGGACGCTAGCCCGGACGCATTTCGGCTCCCCCCCCTCGCGCGTTCAGCAACAGTTAACAGTAAGGACGCAGAGCGCACGACTGTAACAGTGGAAGCTGGAAGCTGCAACTGGCACAGGGAGCTGCAAACCTAATCTTCGCAGCCCAGTGGCCCCCCAAAGGGGCCGGCTGATTTTTCGCAAGCCTCGTGGAGTTCGTATCTTTCTATGGCGTTAGATGTTGCAAAGACAGCGACGAACAAAACAACGTTGTCGTCTGCGCCGACATTGGCGCGTAAGCTCCCTGCGTACGGTCACGCGTGAGCGCCCCCGTCTCCAATGTCGCGTGCCGCGCTGGCGGCCCGCGTGAGCCGCCGCGTGAGGTCGCCGTGCCATCTCGCGCAAGACCCGTTTTTGGTCCCCGTTCACCTTGGCATCGCTCGGACGTGTGCGTTTTTTCCTCGGCGAGGATCCTCGAGGAGCACGCCTGATCAGTTGGCGGAAAAACCACGCACGAAACCGAAAAAAAAAACAGAAAATGGACGTCCGAGCGATGGCCAGTCACATGGCGCCCCTTGCGTGCCACTACCTATGCTGTGCCCCCCCCCCGCCCCACTCCGCACGCCTTCCTTTGGCAACGGCGGCAGCAGTAGTGGGATCGAAGGCGCCACGCCTCGCGGCCCCTCCCGCGCTCTCTGGCACTGCTGGAGGGTGTAGTCTTGCTCGCGCTGACGCGCCACCGCAGTGAGCCATTGCAAAGCAGCCTGCGCCCCCTAACTCCTTTTCCATCCCGCAGGTCGGAGGAGGAAGGGACCTCTACCCCCTCGCCCGTTTTTCTCCTTTTTGGGCCTCCTGGGAGGCCCTCGTCGCAACCGCTGGATTCGCTTCGAAATCTTGGTCAGAACGCACCCCGGGAGAGGTCCGGGGGTAGCGGTATCGGTATCTTTTGGTATCCCCAGCAGGGGCGAATTCGGAGAAGCAAGCGTTGGTATGGTTGTGCTGCTGACGATTTTCAGCGAAGCAACTCCAAGCGAGGCCGAGGCAGCGTGAATCACGCCAGCCTGGCCCGCAACGTCCTGGGACTCCGCTCGGAGCCAGCGCGACGTCTGCGGTCGGGGCCGCAAGGCGGGGCCAGAGGCGCCCCCTGGGATTCTGATGCTCCAGCCTGCTTCAGCCTTGATCATCAGAAGGAATGTCGAGCACCAGGGAGGCACCGAGCCTGCAGGGCTCTCACGCGCCGGGCCCTGGGAGGCGACACCCGCTCGACACCGCCTCGGCGCTCTCCTGGGCGCCCGAAGCCACGCCTGGGACGTGCTCCTCGAGTCCTCGGCACGGAAGAGGGTGGCCCAGCCCTCGGGGACGCACGGGGAGACCCCAAGGCAACACCAGTCTCGCGACCATACTGCATCAAGTACTCCAGATTTCGTAATAAAGGGAGGGGGGTCTCATTTCGGGGGGGGTCTCTTCCAGGCTATCTTGGAGGGCCTGGGGGGGGGGTCTGGGGACGGTGTTTTGGAGGGCTCTCCCACGGGGGGAGAGGTCTGAAATGGCTCGTCCTGGAGGGTCCAGACCCCCTCCCTTTTATTACGAAATCTGGAGTACACCTTAGGCGATGCTTAAGAAAACCTAAGTTTTCGTCCAGAGTCTCGATTATTCTTAACGTTTCAATGTAAATCCTAAGATTTTGATAGAAACGTTGGGTTTTTATTCAAGTTCTGAGACTATGAATTTCTTAACCCATGATTTCTTAAGCATTTCGCAGGGTGTAGCCCTGGGCCCGTGCCGGCGCCCTCGCGGGTTCTTCGGGCCGGCCGCTCCACGCGCGCGCGGCGGGCGGCGGCGCAGCGGCGAGCGAAGGGGGCGGGCGCTCTAGAGGGGTGGGGCGCTGCGCAGGGCGGCCCGGGGTCGGCCGGCGCCGAGCGACGCGCCCCCCGTCGGGGAGCCGCGGGTGCTCAGGGAGGAATCGG